GATTATAAAAATTAATACTGTTCTGGTGGGAGATTCATCTGTAAAAACTCGCATATGTAAATGTACATTCCACCTTTGCCAAGGTCAAGCACAAACCTGAAGCCTAGTAATTTATACTTCTAAATAATACACTGGCGAAATGCTCTTCAATCAAACCCATTTTCCAGACAGTGTGTGGTCCTACCAATTTAAATTTCTCTGAGTGTAATAAACATAATACCAAAGGCAAGGATCCGTATGTGGCGAGGTATCTATACACAGTTTACTTTGATCCTCCATGTAAGTATCAAAACAGACTGCGCCCTTCATGTCCTTCGTGTATTCGTTAGGCCTCAGATCGAACACACTAATTCAAATTCAATTCAAATTCAAAGTTTATTCTCTATAAGGATTACAATGCTGAGTTTACAGAAATTTGGTTATTGTTTGGTTTACATGTAGTAAAATTGTGATTACAGAGTGTACCACTAGAACGCTTAGCATGGCTAGGCATTTCGGGCATACTTAGTTTTATTCTTAATTGTAAAATATTACAGTTGGTTAAGACTTATTTGTATATAAGGTGTTCCGTCTGTATTAAATGCTAGCTGACCGTCACGCACGCTCAGGATTGAGGGCCACCTGTCTCCAACAACCTAGCCCGTAATTAATACATTATTAAATTACACCGTTTGTATTTTTAGGCATGCGTAATGTTTGGCAGAGGGAGGTTCTCTTGCCGTTTAATTAGTTGGAAACAATACGCTTGTTGTATATAGTATGAGGACGGGATGAATAAACCAACGCAAGCAATGGCAGCTTTTGAGAACATTGTTACTTAAATAAGAGGGTAAATACATACTTGGTGTCGCTAGTGTGAACGTCACTGTGGAGAAGCTTGACTTGCAACACCTCAAGGGATGGTTGGAATACACAGGCTTTTATGAAATCAGGTAATAGAATGAAATGATGCAGAGGTTTATAAACTGCCATTGCGTCTGCCCGAGCCTGCTGCCGCACCCCTTGTTTTTCTTGAGAAAACAAACACCCACTGCAATTACTTTATCCTCATTTTCTAAAACCAACAAGGTGAGAAGACATAGGCATGTACACTTAGCTAACCATGTTCAAAGAAACGTGGATGCTCACCTGAGATTGTGCAGCAGTGGTCGGGAACGGATCTGCATGCTCAAATGGTTGGTCCATTCTCGCGTCCAGGAAGTGGTGTCAAATATTGTCACAGGGCGATACGACGGTGTGATAAACTCAGCAACCTTGACAAGTGATAGACGCTGTATTCATCTGTGTGTAAGGACTGCTAGGTTGCCGCTCGCGTGCATAGCTACTCTAATGTTTAGTTAGAGGAGGAGGAGGAGGAGGCTAACAAGCGTATTATTATACTCAGCACCCATCAAACAACCATCCACAGCCTTTTACACACATTTACTTGCTAATTCGACATTCATTCCGGATAATTCCTAAAGTTTAAGGGTTCATAATGGTGATGAAAAAAGGAATGAGACGATGCTGGTGGGATAAGAAATGGAGAGAAGACTACAGTAGAATTAGCTACAGTAGAATTAGCTAACATGTGTGAACAATCTTACCGGCGATCAAGTCTCCAAAGCCAATGGTGCTGAGTGTGATGAAGGTGTAATAGAGGGAGTCCTCGTAGCTCCAGTCCTCCAGCTTGGAGAGCACTACTGATGGTAGGAACATGAACACTATGAATCCCAAGCTCAGGTACATCAAGGTAATGCCATACAGCAGTGCCTTCTGGTGCCGCAGGTGACGCTTCTGAGGAACAACAATAAGAACATAGTAATAATGGTGGAATTACCGACAAAATGTTAGGTAAATGGCACACAGATGTAACTAATGTGACAATTTATTGTGTTAACGTTTCACTCTCGAATAGCTGTTGTCAAGTCGTTACAAATATTACAGGGACACAGAGGGTATATATAGGTACCCCTTCAGATGAGAGATTGGTAGTGGTAGTAGTAGTATGAGTGGAGATAACTTTAGGTTGCTATGCAATGGCAGGGTTTATTTAAAGCCACTCAAAGTTTTTGCCGCAATGACGGTACCTGGGAGTTTGCTCCATTCATCCACAACTCTACTGCCAAACTAGTACTTTCCAAATATCCTTTTTAAATTTATATTTCTCCAACTTGCATCCATTGCTGCGAGTCTTGTCTTGGTTAGACATTTTCATCAAGCCGTATACACCCTCCTTATTTATTTCTGTTTTCTATTTGTACATTTCAGTCATATCGGCCCTAATTCTACACCTTTCCAAAGTATGAAAGTTCGGTGTACCTTCAGCCTATTTTCGTTGGATATTGGCTTCTAATAAATGCAGTCAACTTCGTCATCCTTCTCTTACATTTTCGAGCGCAATTATGTCCATCGTACAATATGTAGCCCGGAACTGTATATCAGAGATATACAATACCGACAAAGATGATGAGTTAGACACATGTGCAACATTTGGGTATCTTTATTTTGTAGACGTTTCGCCATCCAGTGGCTTCACTGATATAATCTGAAGAGTTAGGTTCGTCAGGAAACAGAACAAGTGTTTGATAAATTAGACACATATGCAACACTTGGGTATCTTTATTGAGGAAACGTTTCGCCACATAGTAACTTCATCAGTCCATATAAAGGAGAATGGTGAAGAACAGGAGGAGTTTGAGGCAATCAGTCCCTCAGCCTTGAGTCGATATAGTCACCCCATCGGTCTTGAAAAGAATACAGCATATGTGCGAAGTGGCTTATATCCAGGAGAGGTGCAGCAGTCGTAGGTGGTATCACATCTGACCAATGTGGAAGTATGTCCATACCCAAGTATTAGGCTGGAAAGTACCTCTGCGATGTTGCGTCACCAGGTGATGCAGACATACTAAATGCAAACTTTGTCAGATGGGCTATTGTCACACCCTGCGTCATCATATGCTGGAATGCGATAAAATTAATGAATTCTGAGACAACTCATTCTGACTCACGAAATCGTAATGGCACGATTGCTGGTTCAGTGGCTAACGCGACGGTCTGGAGTTTTGAGACTCTCTGATCGCGGGTTCTATCCCCGCCCGTGGTATGGTTTAACTCATTCTGGATAAATACCCTGACTTTGCCTGTTGTAAATAACTCAGAACAACTTAAACTTGTTGAAATTCGACCATACCTTGCTTAAATATAAGGAAATGTACATAATTCCAAAGCACATATACACTAAACTGTATTTTTTTTGCGCGTGAATTTTGTCTACATAAATAAGTCATTAAGACTGTAACCAGCTATAAACATATAAATAGTTCATTACCACTGTAACTTGCTTAGCTGTCCAAACTTTGGGGCCCAGTTCCTGGATCAGTTATGTACCTCTGTAATACCTGGACTACCCACTCAGGATAAGTACGGGGAAGTGTAATAAAAACTCCCTGAAAGCCAGAAACAAACATGGACTATATTAGGCTTGAAAAGTGAGCATAAGAGGTGAAGACTGACCTTAGCGGTGGTGTAGAGCTGGAGCATGCGGTTGGAGAGCATGTCTGAGGACTTTGCCAGGAGGATGCACGTTAGTGGGACACCCAAAAGGGAGTAGAGGACACAGAAGCGTCTCCCAGAGCGTGTGATCGGAGCAATGTGGCCATAACCTGCAAACAACAACTTTCCTTGGTCTTCTTCCCATGCATGTTCCATACTCTACCAGTCACTCAATTTATAAGTTAATGCACTCTGTCATTTAAATAATAGTGTATTCATTTATCTTAATTATTGCACTGAGCTATTTACAAAAATAGGAATTTTATCTAGGCACAGGTACGCAAATATAGTTACACAAATTTAAGTGACTGCAATTATCATATTCAGCAGGTTAGGTTCCAGGCTACTGCTGTATTTTCAAATGCATATAAAAACATGGTTACACTATCATATATTAAGTGAGCAATAGAACTGGGCCTAAAAATGCATGTACAGTACATACATTACTTACCTTAAAATATTTTCGTCCTTAGCTTCTAGAGTGTGGTGAATATAGTATGAAGTCTGAATAAATGAAGAATGGGTATAATTGAAAACTGCTGCATTATCGAAACGCCGTAAAGTGAAGCCGTGTAAAGCTGGGCCCATCTGTATAGTAACGTGTAAATTATCTAGGATAACCCCAAAAAGTCAGACGATGTGACTTATTTCCACTGGGAATCATTGTAATATCTTATTATTGTTGCACTAAGCTATTGAAAAAATGGAGTCTGTCACTTCAAATTCTGTAATACACTGTAATTTTTAAAAATTCAAATTTTTCTTCTGCTGTATACTTAATGTGTAGAAATATTAGTTAGGTTAGTTAACTTATGAAAGCTCTGGTTCAGTCGATTAATGTGATACTTTATGTAGCATTGCATTGTATTTCATAGAGCGGGAAACTCGTCTAGGTCAATAAGTGCTAGGAGTGGTGGAGGCTCGATCCATCGTCTACAAATTACAGCCTAGTTTCGGCTAATATAGAGTTGAGGTCCTTCTGTTATGAACTTAACGATAAGTTGTATTATAAATTCTCCGCCAATAAGTAGGTTGTACAGTGGAGATGTAGTTATATTTTAAAGCCGAAAACTTTGTCTGAAAATTAGCTTAGTAAAATGAGGCTAGGAAAAAACTGCAGTATGATGACCAATTGTTTACATGAGATGTGTAGCTTAACTGAGGTAAGATTTGTTCAGTGCGTCCTTCAATCTTGTTCCCCAGGGTGCTACCCACACCATTCCACTAACACCCAGGTACCTACTTACTGCTACGTGAACAGGGACGGCAGGTGTAAGGAAACATGCCCAGTGTTTCCACCTGGCCGGGAATTGAACCAGTGTGCAAAGCAAGAGCGTTGCTTACCGAGCCACGGGCCATCAGCAAATACCCTTGTCAGGTGAAACACTGTCCTGTATCCTGACGAACATACTGTAGGTAGGTATGCAGGTAGTGATATGCTCCACCTTATAGTGAGTAACAAGTAGTCATAGTGTATAGTTAGTGATGGCGTCCACTAGAGACCAGGACTTTGTCTCTGTCACCTCTTTGATTATGCTTAGACTGTCCTTACATTCTTTCTCCACTTCTCTCCACCAATCACCATCATTCTTCTGTTGGTAAAGATAGAATTAATATACATTACGTTTGTAGAGATTCTTTAAAAGTTTTAAAAAATATACACCTCAGTTAATAATTTTATTAATTCTTTGTGTGTGTGTGTGTCGTACTAAATAAGCCGAACTTGCCGAATAAGCCAAACTTCCTTAAAAATTAATCTTTTCCAAATAATTTTTTGCAGATTGATAGCTAATTTTTTTCATTAACATTGATATCAAGATTTTTATTTTTGTATCAAAACAAACACAGAAACAGCAGCTAATCTCCCATAAGCAAACGTAATTTTATTTACCTAATTCTACTATATATATCACAGGTTAATTTAAATTTATTAACTATTCCTTAAAATCAATGGTTTTTTTTTCGTAATGCTCAGATTGATTTCCGCTGATTTATTGCAAAAACAAATTTTAATTCGGCTTATTCGGCAAAATGAACTCTTTGCCAAGGGCCAAACTGGACGATTCGGCTTATTAGGCACATTATATATATATATATATATATATATATATATATATATATATATATATATATATATAATATATATATATATATATATATATATATGTCGTACCGAATAGGTAAAACTGGTCAATTAGCAAGAACTCATTTAAAATTAAGTCCTTTCTAAAATTGTCATTTATACGTTTGAATATATATATTTTTATTTATGTTAATGTAAAAAAATAATCATTTTGTACCAAAAGAACCTTAGGAAAACTTACCTAACTTTATTATAACAAGCGCAATTTAATTTAGCATAATCCAACTAAATATATTTTAGATAGGTTTACAATAATTTAATAATAAACAAAAACAAAGAAATATATTTTTTCGTTAGGTTCAGAATGATTTTTGCGAATTATTACAAACACAAACTTTCACTTGCCTTATTCGGCAAGAAGAGCGTTGCTATTTAAGCCCAAATCGCAAGTTTTACCTATTCGACACAACATATGTATTTATTGTGTGTAATATTTTGTAAATCATAATAAAGTGGAAAACATGATTATATTAGCGTAATGACTGTCTTGGTTACTCCTGGATACATAGTGTGTTAAAACATAAATATATTGATAACAGTTTTCATCTAGGTTCTCAACCTTATGTTCGGTATACAAACTTATCAGCAACGCATTGTGCCCTTACCAGTACTCTTCTATACATACATTGACCAACACATTCATTATACAACCACTCTCAGTCCTTTACAACATTCTTCTATAAAGATTCACCAACCCACGCATTACTCTACAACACTCATCAGCAACACTTCAGCCCTTCCTAATACTTTTGTACACACATTCATTATGCAAAGCTCATCAGCAACACTGCAGTCCTTCACAGTACTCGTGCACATACACACAGTCATGTAAACACTACATGCAGCAAACTTGAATGGTGAATAAAACATGATTTTATCTGCCATTCCCCAGACGTTATATTACAGGTTCAGCGCATTAGCTGTGGTAACACACGACAGTGTTCGGATATTTCTTTTTATTGGACTTTATAATTGTTGTTTAAAATATTCGTGGACGTATGTAGGGCCACTAAATACCATGTAGATCTACCCATTGTCCTCTGTATTTAGTACCAAGAAGCCTGAGTACATAACGCAGGAACACGACAGTAGGCCTACTGGCCCATGCTAGGCAGGTCTGACTCACACTCACTCATGTACCCGTTCAGCCTATATTTAAAGATAGCGTTCCTCACCTCATGACCCTACCAGTGCGTCTCTTCCAGTCATTTACAACTCTGTTGCCAAATTAATACTTCCCAATATCCCATCTAAATTTACATTTTTTCAACCTGAGTCCGTTGCTTTGAGTCTTGTTTTAGCTTTATATTTTCTACATGTTCTATATATCCTCTTTATTTATTCCTATTTAAATTTAACCTAACATCCTAGTTACTGCTTAGTTTATTAGGTTTGAAACCTATCGACCATACAGTGGTCATTATGACTGGATATCACTTATTCACCACCAGCGTAAAATAAACTATATACATACTGTTAAGGTATACCTCTGGGTGTATATACCTTGTGAATTTATATATTTATACCGTTATTAAATGTGCAGATTAATTAGTTGATGCTTTAACTTTTAGCAGTCATATATAACATTCAGTACTGTGTTAACAACCAGTGCATAATCATCTCCAAGTTGTGGTAGCTATTTATTGTGTATAATATATACGAGGTGCTAAACCCGGTCGATTAGGGTGTACAAGCAGTGATGGAGGCTCGATCCTAGGACAGTGTAGGTTAGGTTAGGTAAGGTTCGTCAGGAAACAGGACAAGTGTTTCCTAACTCGGTATTAGTCAGATGATGACCCACCGTTGGAGCTTTTTGGTCATCTGACCGAGACCTTCCACTGGCTTACCGGTCCACCCCTTTATAAACCATTTATGAGTTTTTTTTTTCATGGTTGTAGTTATAACCATTTCTTACCATATGGGTTGAGTACTAGTGGTGGTTTAGTTTAATATGTTTATTATGCACCCCATACCCATCCTGTGGGCGGTAGTCAAAAAGATTACAGAGGTACATAATTGGTCCAGGGACTGGACTCCAAAGTTTTGATAGCTGAGCAAGTTACAGAGGTAATGAATTCACAATTTACAAAGGTAATGAACTCACAATTTACAAAGGTAATGAACTCCAGGTAGGTCTAGTCACACTCATGACAAGTTACAAAGGTATTTACAGATTGCAGAGATTACGTACTAGTGGTGGTGGAGGATTAATGCTTCACTCGTTTACGTTATTGTGTACAAGGAAAGACGTGGTTGAATCTTGATCTACGGTCTTGTAGCGGGGAGAGAGAAAGGAGGAGGAGGGGGAGAGGTAAATAAGTTAGCGTGGGAAGAAGCAGTCTGGGACCACACACTCTGTCGCGGCTCTCCAGCAGCATTAATTAACTCAAATCTACACGGAGGTGTTGGGGAGGCAGGGAACGCTGAACATAGCTGTTTGCATCATGCTATAGTTTTCTTAAAGACACCTACTGTCCCTGTTCACCTAGCAGTAAGTGGGTACCTGGGTGTTAGCCGAGTGGTGTGGGTCGCATCCTGGGTTGTCGACAAAGTTAACATAAGTTGCCCGAAATGCTCTACATAACGAGGGGCTTTTATATAGTATGTCACTAATGTCAGCTATGGTGTGTATAAGTTGTATCACGTACTTGTAGAAATAAAGATTATTATTACAACTAGTTTCCATCCAACTTCACCTTCCTCAGATCAAACATGATCACTTTCTATTCCCGTCATTGCATATGACTTCTGGTTTCATTCTTCAAGAATATAATAATATTATTATTATGATTCAGCCTGTGCTCGCGAGACCCTACTAGGCAGGTGCACTGATGGTGAAGGGCTCTTGATCCAAGGAATAGGAACTGCTTTTCCCTCCACAGGCACTGTGTGACGTCTGTGTAACACTTTCCCAGTAACGACAATGATCTTTCTTGGCTGATTGCTGCCATTGATGTCTAGACTGTCATCACTGATGTCCTTCCTTCTACCTTACGCAGTGCTTCCCAGATGGTTGAAAGAATCGGTGGTCGGCCCCAGTGACCAACTTATTGGTCACTGGAGTTATTAGCTAACCTTGGGTTATTAGCTAACCTTGGGTTATTAGCTAACCTTGGGTTATTAGCTAACCTTGGGTTATTAGCTAACCTTGGGTTAATAGGTAACCTTGAGTTATTAGCTAACCTTGCTTAACTATTATTTTGAATATAATAATAATAATAATTATTATTATTATTCAAGGGTCATGAAGATCATGGGGGAAAAGGTGATTAGAATTCAACTGAAGAGCGGAAACCCAGCTTCAGCTTACTGGACCCTTCCCCTTCCCTCAAGGGAGGTTCCTTGATGCTGGTAAGGGGCTGTTGATGCCCTCCCTTTTCTTGGATCGAGCTTGATTACCCTCTATTAGCGCTTTCCCTAAATGTAATAATTAGATCCTTGTAGATGTGTTCACCGATATAATCCCTGAGGGTTTAATCCCTATTTAGGGGATTTAATCCCTATTTTAGGTATTTAATCCCTATTTTATGGATTAAAGCGTTTTTTTTCTGTCAGCATACACGTGAATTGCAATACTGGTAGGTGCCGTGCAGTCGATAGTCCGTAAACTTTACAAAGTCCTTAAACTTTACAGTGACGACAGTCTCCCATGATTATTGTGGGAGAGTGGAAGTGGCAGCTGTGTACTAGTTACATGACACTTACACCTTGTCATCTGTCTCATGGTGGACTACCCAGCTTCACTCTTCCCCGTAATTTTCAACTGTCTATTCAAAATAGTTTGAGAGATCGTAAAGGCAGCACACCACGTACATTTTTGACCTGTGTGACTAGTTAATGATTCACGTCGGACTGAAACACTGTCATATGTTTGTCTCCTAAGTATAGGTTATTTGTGTATTAGACCAGTCTTCCACTACAATGTTCACATTCTAGTGGAAAACGGCAAAGTAATTGTGTGATAATCAGTCACAATAAAAGGAGATATACTAGGAATAAGGCAGGAATAAGAGAATCAGCTACTTTCCTCCTAACGTCATATTTTTATGCAGATATTAAGGCTAATTTCTCTACGTTATGTGATGTAGGTTATATTACCACCAATTAAAGAAATTTAACTGAAGTACGTACACACAAACACCAGTTAGTGTAATAATGAAAAAAAAAAGGTTAGAATACATTTTGAAGCGCACACAGAAAACGGGACCCACCCAGTAGACCCATTAAGAATAATGAAATAAAATACTTGACAGTTTAGTGTTGGTGTTGTTGTATTTAAGGTTATGAGTCTGAGAAAATCTGACGCTTGCTTGGGAGGATGAGTTGAGTCAGCTTGCCACTGTGTAGGTACTGCCTTTGTTGTCAGCCTATCACTGTTTACGTGCTGCCTTTGTTGTCAGCCTATCACTGTGTAGGTACTGCCTTTGTTGTCAGCCTACCACTGTACGTGCTGCCTTTGTTGTCAGCCTATCACTGTGTAGGTACTGCCTTTGTTGTCAGCCTATCACTGTGTAGGTACTGCCTTTGTTGTCAGCCTATCACTGTGTACGTGCTGCCTTTGTTGTCAGCCTATCACTGTACGTGCTGCCTTTGTTGTCAGCCTACCACTGTACGTGCTGCCTTTGTTGTCAGCCTATCACTGTGTAGGTACTGCCTTTGTTGTCAGCCTATCACTGTACGTGCTGCCTTTGTTGTCAGCCTATCACTGTGTAGGTACTGCCCTTGTTGTCAGCCTATCACTGTGTAGGTACTGCCTTTGTTGTCAGCCTATCACTGTGTACGTGCTGCCTTTGTTGTCAGCCTATCACTGTGTAGGTGCTGCCTTTGTTGAGTTTTTAGCCTATCACTGTGTACGTGCTGCCTTTGAGTTGTCAGCCTATCACTGTGTAGGTACTGCCTTTGAGTTGTCAGCCTATCACTGTGTAGGTACTGCCTTTGAGTTGTCAGCCTATCACTGTGTAGGTACTGCCTTTGTTGTCAGCCTATCACTGTACGTGCTGCCTTTGTTGTCAGCCTATCACTGTGTAGGTACTGCCCTTGTTGTCAGCCTATCACTGTGTAGGTACTGCCTTTGTTGTCAGCCTATCACTGTGTACGTGCTGCCTTTGTTGTCAGCCTATCACTGTACGTGCTGCCTTTGTTGTCAGCCTATCACTGTACGTGCTGCCTTTGTTTCAACCTATCACTGTACGTACTGCCTTTGTTGTCAGCCTATCACTGTGAGGTACTGCCTTTGTTGTCAGCCTATCACGTACGTGCTGCCTTTGTTGTCGGCCTATCATGTGTACGTGTGCCTTTGTTGTCAGCCTATCACTGTAGTGGTGCCTTTGTTGTCAGCCTATCACTGTACGTGGTGCCTTTGTGTCAGCCTATCACTGTACGTGCTGCCTTGTTGTCAGCCTATCACTGTAACGTGCTGCCTTTGTTGTCAGCCTATCACTGTACGTGCTGCCTTTGTTGTCAGCCTATCCTGTACGTGCTGCCTTTGTTGTCAGCCTATCACTGTACTCTGCCTTTGTTGTCAGCCTATCACTGTAACGTGCTGCCTTTGTATGTCAGCCTGTCACTGTGTACGTGCTACCCTTTGTTGCGCCTATCACTGTGTACCTGCTGCCTTTGTTGTCAGCCTATTACTGTGTACGTTGCTGCCTTTGTTGTTCAGCCTATCACTGTTACGTGCTGCCTTTGTTGTCAGCCTATCACTGGTAGGTACTGCCTTTGTTGTCAGCCTACCACTGTACGTGCTGCCTTTGTTGTCAGCCTATCACTGTGTAGGTACTGCCTTTGTTGTCAGCCTATCCACTGTGTAGTACTGCCTTTGTTGTCAGCCTATCACTGTGTACGTGCTGCCTTTGTTGTCAGCCTATCACTGTACGTGCTGCCTTTGTTGTCAGCCTACCACTGTACGTGCTGCCTTTGTTGTCAGCCTATCACTGTGTAGGTACTGCCTTTGTTGTCAGCCTATCACTGTACGTGCTGCCTTTGTTGTCAGCCTATCACTGTGTAGGTACTGCCCTTGTTGTCAGCCTATCACTGTGTAGGTACTGCCTTTGTTGTCAGCCTATCACTGTGTACGTGCTGCCTTTGTTGTCAGCCTATCACTGTGTAGGTGCTGCCTTTGTTGAGTTTTTAGCCTATCACTGTGTACGTGCTGCCTTTGAGTTGTCAGCCTATCACTGTGTAGGTACTGCCTTTGAGTTGTCAGCCTATCACTGTGTAGGTACTGCCTTTGAGTTGTCAGCCTATCACTGTGTAGGTACTGCCTTTGTTGTCAGCCTATCACTGTACGTGCTGCCTTTGTTGTCAGCCTATCACTGTGTAGGTACTGCCCTTGTTGTCAGCCTATCACTGTGTAGGTACTGCCTTTGTTGTCAGCCTATCACTGTGTACGTGCTGCCTTTGTTGTCAGCCTATCACTGTACGTGCTGCCTTTGTTGTCAGCCTATCACTGTACGTGCTGCCTTTGTTGTCAGCCTATCACTGTACGTACTGCCTTTGTTGTCAGCCTATCACTGTGTAGGTACTGCCTTTGTTGTCAGCCTATCACTGTACGTGCTGCCTTTGTTGTCGGCCTATCACTGTGTACGTGGTGCCTTTGTTGTCAGCCTATCACTGTACGTGGTGCCTTTGTTGTCAGCCTATCACTGTACGTGGTGCCTTTGTTGTCAGCCTATCACTGTACGTGCTGCCTTTGTTGTCAGCCTATCACTGTACGTGCTGCCTTTGTTGTCAGCCTATCACTGTACGTGCTGCCTTTGTTGTCAGCCTATCACTGTACGTGCTGCCTTTGTTGTCAGCCTATCACTGTACGTGCTGCCTTTGTTGTCAGCCTATCACTGTACGTGCTGCCTTTGATGTCAGCCTGTCACTGTGTACGTGCTACCCTTGTTGTCAGCCTATCACTGTGTACCTGCTGCCTTTGTTGTCAGCCTATTACTGTGTACGTGCTGCCTTTGTTGTCAGCCTATCACTGTGTACGTGCTGCCTTTGTTGTCAGCCTATTACTGTGTACGTGCTGCCTTTGTTGTCAGCCTATCACTGTGTACGTGCTACCCTTGTTGTCAGCCTATCACTGTGTAGGTACTGCCTTTGTTGTCAGCCTATCACTGTGTACGTGCTGCCTTTGTTGTCAGCCTATCACTGTGTAGGTACTGCCATTGTTGTCAGCCTATCACTGTGTAGGTACTGCCTTTGTTGTCAGCCTATCACTTTGTAGGTACTGCCTTTGTTGTCAGCCTGTCACTGTGTAGGTGCTGGCTTTGTTGTCAGCCTATCACTGTGTAGGTACTGCCTTTGTTGTCAGCCTATCACTGTGTAGGTACTGCCATTGTTGTCAGCCTATCTCTGTGTGGGTGCTGCCTTTGTTGTCAGCCTATCACTGTGTAGGTACTGCCTTTGTTGAGTTGTCAGCCTGTCACTGTGTAGGTGCTGCCTTTGTTGTAAGCCTATCACTGTGTAGGTGCTGCCATTGTTGTCAGCCTATCAATGTGTAGATACTGCCTTTGTTGAGTTGTCAGCCTATATCTGCGTAGGTGCTGTTTTTGTTGAGTTGTCAGCCTATCACTGTGTAGGTGCTGCCTTTGTTGAGTTGTCAGCCTATCACTGTGTAGGTGCTGCCTTTGTTGAGTTGTCAGCCTATCACTGTGTAGGTGCTGCCTTTGTTGAGTTGTCAGCCTATCACTGTGTAGGTGCTGCCTTTGTTGAGTTGTCATCCTATCACTGTGTAGGTTCTGCCTTTGTTGAGTTGTCAGCCTATCACTGTGTAGGTGCTGCCTTTGTTGAGTTGTCAGCTTATCACTGTGTAGGTGCTGCCTTTGTTGAGTTGTCAGCCTATCACTGTGTAGGTGCTGCCTTTGTTGAGTTGTCAGCCTATCACTGTGTAGGTGCTGCCTTTGTTGAGTTGTCATCCTATCACTGTGTAGGTGCTGCCTTTGTTGAGTTGTCAGCCTATCACTGTGTAGGTGCTGCCTTTGTTGAGTTGTCAGCCTATCACTGTGTAGGTACTGCCTTTTGAGTTGTCAGCCTATCACTGTGTAGTTACTGCCTTTGATTTGTCAGCCTATCACTGTGTAGGTACTGCCTTTGAGTTGTCAGCCTATCACTGTGTAGGTGCTGCCTTTGAGTTGTCAGCCTATCACTGTGTAGGTGCTGCCTTTGAGTTGTCAGCCTATCACTGTGTAGGTACTGCCTTTGTTGTCAGCCTATCACTGTACGTGCTGCCTTTGAGTTGTCAGCCTATCACTGTGTAGGTACTGCCTTTGAGTTGTCAGCCTATCACTGTACGTGCTGCCTTTGAGTTGTCAGCCTATCACTGTGTAGGTACTGCCTTTGAGTTGTCAGCCTATCACTGTGTAGGTACTGCCTTTGAGTTGTCAGCCCATTTCTACGTAGGTAGCACTAACGTAACAGATGCTACGGATGGAAACAACAGCTTATTGTGTACAGTAACAAAGTACAGATGGAGGAAATTTTCATCGCGACACTAAGATTTTCTTCAACAGATGCAGTGTATACATTTGTATATACATTGTATCTGTTAGTGTAATGTATACCTCACTCTTGATCTATGTCTTCTCCCTCTCCCTCCTCCTCCAATGTATATATGTAGCGCATCTTGTGTGATGGAATATGACAGGGAAAGATAGCTAGAGTCCACCGTGTAACTGTCGTATGGAAACAAGTACTATACCAGCACACTGGTAATGTGTCCAGTTTTGGTCAATAATCAATCCCCTTTTAATGTGTATCAGTGTCTTACTGGTTAGCTAGTTTTATGAGTGTTATTATTTCTCTCTCTCTCTCTCTCTCTCTCTCTCTCTCTCTCTCTCTCTCTCTCTCTCTCTCTCTCTCTCTCTCTCTCGCTCTCTCTCTCTTTCTCTCTCTCTCTCTCTCTCTCTCTCTCTCTCTCTCTCTCTCTCTCTCTCTCTCTCTCTCTCTCTCTCTCTCTCTCCTCTCTCTCTCTCTCTCTCTCTCTCTCCTCTCTCCCCTCTCTCTCTCTCGTCTCTCCTCTCTCTCCTCTCTCTCTCTCCTCTCCTCTCGCTCTCTCTCTCTCTCTCTCTCTCTCTCTCTCTCTCTCTCTCTCTCTCTCTCTCTCTCTCTCTCTCACACACACACACACACACAGTGAGGAGCTGTGAATCGACCCCTGCAACCACATATAGGTGAGTACACACATACATCTTACCTTTAAGAGAGTAAACAAGATGTCAGAAGTGTGATTCCGAGGCTCGTCCACCACTGTGCCATTATCCAGCTGATCAATGGCTAAACAAAACAAATGTACAACTAACTCAAAATGACGCTACAGAAGAAGCATTAGCAACATTAACAGGAGTAAATAAAACTAAATGCTTAAAATAATGAAGTCAAAATACACACAAGCATTACTTAAAGGTGTTCGAAATGTGCTACGGGCAAGTGTAGTAGAGACACGGTGCAGGATATGCACTTGATGAGACACATGTGCAACAGTTGGGTATCTTTATTCCGAAACGTTTTGCTTTGCTTACACAGTAGACTTCTTCAGTCGAGTACAGAAGAATGAGCAGAAGCAGTAGAGATGCTATGACGATGTCATCAGTTCATCACCCTTGAAGACGTAGTTTTGAGGTGGTCAGTCCCTCACGATATGCATCTACTGGGTCTATGTTGAGCTCGCTGGGGAAAAGGACACAAATACAGAGAAAACCTTTACTGAGACGTTTCGCCCGCCGACAGGCTTTTTTCAAGATTGTATAAATGTTGGTAGAATTATCGACAATATGTTAGATAAAAGGACACAAGTGCAATTAATGCGACATTTTATTGTGGCAACATTTTGCTCTCCAGGAGTAAAACGTTGCCACAACAAAATGTCGCATTAGTTGCACATGCATCCTTCAGGATTATAGATAAATGGTTCAGAGAACCCCATACGACTGCTTCACCTTACCTGTCTCCAGCATATGCTGTGTCCCTATAAAGATCGGTAGACTACCTACCTGGAAGGTATTCCGGGGATCAACGCCCCCGCCGCCTGGCCCACGACCAGCCCTCCCGGTGGATCAGGGTCTGATTAATCAGGTTGTTACTGCTGGCCGCACGTAGTCCGACGTACGAACCACAGCCAGGGGTCTATTGGTAATTCCCCTTATGCATGGTGGGAGGCTGTTGAACAGTCTTGAGCCCCGGACACTTATTGTGTTTTCTCTTAGTGTACCAATGGCGCCTCTACTTTTCGTTGGGGGTATTTTGCACCGCCTGCCCAGTCTTACTGTTTACATTGAAGTCCAGGCTGAGGGACTGATTACCCCAAACCTCTTCTGGTCTTCACCATTCTTCTTTGTATGGACTGATGAAGTCACTGGTTGGCGAAACGTTTCCACAATAAAGATACCTAAGTGTTGCACATGTGTCTAATTTATCATCATTCTTCAGGATAGGTAAATGGACACAGATGCGTTAATGTGACGTTTTATTGCGACGTTTCTCTCTCCAGGAGCTTTATCAGGCCGTAACAGCTTAATCAGGATTAATTAAAGAAGCGTGTCCATAGGCGAAACGTCTAAACAGTTTCTCCCTGTCCTGTGTCTTTGTCACCACTTGTCGGCTCTGCGCCGTTTGTATCCAAAGCTCGCTTTGTATAGAGCTTTATTAGACTATGAGTTGATAAAGCTCTACACAGAGCGAAACATTTAAAGCTCTGCACAGGGACACATTAATAACTTCAAGTTTTGAATTAAAACCGCTAGTTGACGAAACGTCTTTCGAATAAAGTTTCCCAGCTGTTGGACAAGTGTCTTAATTCTTCACCATGTCAGCATTGTGTACCATTAGTGATATACCTTGATAAAGCTTAGGAGTAAACGTTTCAAATGAAAGCTTATTCTGCAACGTGTGTCTTCAGCTTCAACTGAAAGCTTAAGGATTACCCTAAGTCATGCCAAAGAAATGATCTAAACTAAAAAAACAAAAATGGTCCATACAGAAAAAAAAATTGGTCGTACAATAAACAATGGTTTGTAAAGAAAAAAAAATGAACTGTACAAAAAAAATTGGCCTGTACCAAAAAATGGCCTGTAAACAAAAAATGGCCTGTACCAAAAAATGGCCTGTAAAAAAAATGGCCTGTACACAAAAAATGGCCTGTACACAAAAAATGGCCTGTACACAAAAAAAATGTTCTGTACAGAAAAAATATACTTGAGAATCTCAATAACTAAATATAATGAAAAGTGAACATAAACTGGGAATTAAAAGGCGAAAAATCTAAAGTGGGATATTGATGCAGTCGTGGGTGCTGGTGAAGGGATCTTGATCCAAGGAGTTGAAGCTCTTCCCTGGATGAAGCCTCATTCACTCCTACACTCGTGGATGAAGCCTCATTCACTCCTACACTCGGATGAAGCCTCATTCACTCATACACTCGTGGATGAAGCCTTTATTTCATTCACTCCAACACTCGTGGGTGAAGCCTCATTCACTCCTAAACTCATGGATGAAGCCTCATTCACTCCTACATGTGGATGAAGCCTCATTCACTCCAACACTCGTGGATGAAGCCTCATTCACTCATACACTCGTGGATGAAGCCTCATTCACTCCAACACTCGTGGATGAAGCCTCATTCACTCCTAAACTCATGGATGAAGCCTCATTCACTCCTACATGTGGATGAAGCCTCATTCACTCCAACACTCGTGGATGAAGCCTCATTCACTCATACACTCGTAGATGAAGCCTCATTCACTCCAACAATCGTGGATGAAGCCTCATTCACTCCTAAACTCGTGGATGAAGCCTTATTCACTCCAACACTCGTGGATGAAGCCTCATTCACTCCTACACTCGTGGATGAAGCCTCATTCACTCCTACACTCGTGGATAAAGCCTCATTCACTCATACACTTGTGGATGAAGCCTCATTCACTCATACACTCGTGGATGAAGCCTCATTCACTCCAACACTCGTGGATGAAGCCTCATTCACTCCAACACTCGTGGATGAAGCCTCATACACTCGTGGATGAAGTCTCATTCACTCCAACACACGCGGATGAAGCCTCATTCACTCATACACTCGTGGATGAAGCCTCATTCACTCATACACTCGTGGATGAAGCCTCATTCACTCCTAAACTCGTGGATGAAGCCTCATTCACTCCAACACTCGTGGATGAAGCCTCAGCCACTCCTACACTCGTGGGTGAAGCCTCATTCACTCCTACACTCGTGGATGAAGCCTCATTCAGTCCAACACTCGTGGGTGAAGCCTCATTCACTCATACACTCGTGGATGAAGCCTCATTCACTCCAACACTCGTGGATGTAGCCTCATTCATCATACACTCGTGTGTACCTCATCACACATACCTCGTGGATGAAGCCTCATTCACTCATACACTCGTAGATGAAGCCTCATTCACTCATACACTCGTGGATGAAGCCTCATTCACTCATATACTCGTGGATGAAGCCTCATACACTCGTGGATGAAGCCTCATTCACTCATACACTCGTGGATGAAGCCTCATACACTCGTGGATGAAGTCTCATTCACTCCAACACTCGTGGATGAAGCCTCATTCACTCATACACTCGTGGATGAAGCCTCATACACTCGTGGATGAAGCCTCATTCACTCCAACACTCGTGGATGAAGCCTCATTCACTCATACACTCGTGGATGAAGCCTCATTCACTCAACTCGTGGATGAAGCCTCATTCACTCCAACACTCGTGGATGACGCCTTATTCACTCCACGTGGATGAAGCCTCATTCACTCCAACACTCGTGGATGAAGCCTCATTCACTCATACACTCGTGGATAGAAGCCTCATTCACTCCAACACTCGTGGATGAAGCCTCATTCACTCCAAACCCATCACTCACGTGGATGAAGCCTCATTCACTCCAACACTCGTGGATGAAGCCTCATTCACTCCAACACTCGTGGATGAAGCCTCATTCACTCCAACACTCGTGGATGAAGCCTCATTCACTCATACACTCGTGGATGAAGCCTCATTCACTCCAACACTCGTGGATGAAGCCTCATTCACTCCAACACTCGTGGATGAAGCCTCATTCACTCCAACACTCGTGGATGAAGCCTCATTCACTCCAACACTCGTGGATAAAGCCTCATTCACTCCAACACTCGTGGATGAAGCCTCTCATTCACAGAGTCCATACACTCGTGGATGAAGCCTCATTCACTCATACACTCGTGGATGAAGCCTCATTCACTCCAACACTCGTGGATGATGCCTCATTCACTCATACACTCGTGGATGAAGCCTCATTCACTCATACACTCGTGGATGAAGCCTCATTCACTCATACACTCGTGGATGAAGCCTCATTCACTCATACACTCGTGGATGAAGCCTCATTCACTCAAACTCGTGCCTCAGATGTTACTCAGTATATGGCAACAATAATGATAAGTTTTCCCAAAATCGTACAACAGTTGGTGAAGTGCTCATAGTAAAGTACAGCAGCTGAGGAAGTGTTCATGGTACAGTACAACTGGTCAAGTGCTCATGGTAAAGTACAGCAACTGAGGAAGTGTTCATGGTACAGTACAACTGGTCAAGTGCTCATGGTACAGTACAGCAGCTGGTCAAGTGTTCACGATAAAGTACAACAGCTGGTCAAGTGCTCATGGTACAGTACAACAGCTGGTGAAGTGTTCATGGTTCAGTATAACAGCTGGTCAAGTGCTCATGGTAAAGTGCAACAGCTGGTGAAGTGTTCATGGTACAGTACAACAGCTGGTCAAGTGCTGATTGTATAGTACAACAGCTGGTCAAGTGTTCATGGTACAGTACAACAGTTGGTGAAGTATTCATGGTACAGTACAGCAGCTGGTGAAGTGTTTATGGTACAGTACAACAGCTGGTCAAGTGTTCATGGTACAGTACAACAGCTGGTCAAGTGCTGATAGTATAGTACAACTGCTGGTGATGTCGATAATATAGTACAACAGCTGGCGAAGTGCTGATAGTACAGTACAACAGCTGGTGAAGTGTTCATGGTACAGTACAACTGCTGGTTGAAAAGTGACATGTATCATTAAGTTTGTGTGAAGAAAGTAATACTACAGGTTGTGTGTACATTCTCTGGTCTTCACTCACGTGAAGCAGTATCGTTAAACAGTGCTCCCAGGATTTAGCGTTCTAGCAGCTGTCCTAAGTTGTTATTAGCGGTCATCGTACGTGATTGAATTAGTCGAACATACCTACAAGAGTGTAACAGCTTTCTAGAGTGTGAATAACGTGAT